TTGTCCACAGGTGTGGGGTCTGTGAACACATGTTTCAAGGTGTATTTAAGTAGTTGGGCTGAAAAACGGTTTTTGTGCACAGCGGACTTGAGCTCTCTGAACAGGGTTTGGTACATCTTGAAGAACATCAGCAATAGACTTAATGGTAGGGATGTGCAAATAGTAAATTCTGTAACCAAAATGTGTATATGCATGCTGGAATTATGCTGCTAGCTCATTAAAAGGTCTCATATGTCGTTACGCTAGCACACACACAAAAAAATGTGTTTTACATGCCATAACTACCAGCCACGCTGACCAACACATCTAGTTTTGAATGCCACAAAATTGATGGTAGGAACACCGCCGGAGTAGCTCAAGTGGTAGAGCACCGGACGCATTATTAGAATGTTATTGCAGGTACAGTCCCTGCCAGTGGTAAGTTATCCTTTTAGTCACATTACTTTCTTCACATTTACATCGTGAAAAATACTTGCTTGTTTGTTGTAAATAATGTTGAGCCTAACAATAAGACGAGCCTCTTGTTTCGTTGGTTGAGTACATAGGTAGCCAGCAAAGGAAACATCATAGTGGTTTTTCGTGGACAAAAAAAGAACATAAGAAGCTTTGTAGAGCAATTGAGCTAGAAACTTCTCGCCTTTTAAATTCAGTTTGTTATGCCAGTGGTTTGTTGACATGACATATGTTGACTAAAGCTCTTGAAGGTTGATATATACGAGAGATATTGGGCATGAATTGTCCGCATTGCCATGTAGGTGCACGCCTGTTCTGCTGCGTCTGGCATGGCTTTTTCTTCTTCTTCACCTCTTCTCATGGCTCTTACCCAATGCTGGGGATTGGCTGAGTATTAGGTGAAATTTTTTGTTTGCTTTTTAAGTGTTTCTTTGCAATACTTCTCGTATAAGCTAGGAATAGTTAATAATACAACAACCATAATTATGGAATATTAGTATTGTAGTGTTTAAAAGGATGAAAAATTGAGCTCAATGCTCTTTTAGTCTGACTGATGAATTCCTCAATGGCGTAGTAAACATACCGTGTTACTGTAGCTCAGAGTAGAAGCGCCAAAAGAATAAGCAACTTATTCGGATATTTCCAGACCCAAGTTTCAAAGAGGTGGTGCTTTGAATCTTCTCCTCAATGAGGTGTACAGGTTACAGGACAGAAAATGGTAATGAATAATTGTTTCCTTCTCCTTACAGAGGAGACAGCGCTTGACTTGCTCAAAGCTCTATGCAGGTAAAAGTTGAGGGAGGTATCCTGGCAGCGAAGTTTATTCACTGTTCCAGGAAAATAATAGTTGCTTATATTCTGGAGAAGCTGTCGAGGCAGGGTCTGATAAGCATTTTTTTTCATGTTAGCGTTCTGAATCGTGCAATTGTATGCTGTCAGTGGGAAAACCGGAATGATTGGCACCAAAAGCGCCACCTTTGCTAAAGCATCGGAAATCATCTGGTTTCACTTCATCTTCTGTGCTTTTGACTGGGCGAGCAGACATATGACCAGACATATGATAGCATGTATAGCTGGCAATTGTGAAATGCAGATTGTCTTAACCCTTTGTCATCATCATCATCAGCCTGACTACGTCCACTGCAAGACAAAGGCCTCTCCCATGTTCTGCCAGTCAACTTGTTCCTGTGCTTGCTGTGGCCAATTTATACCCTCAAACTTCTTAATCTCATCTGCCCACTTAACCTTCTGTCTCCCCCTAACCCATTTGACTTCTCTGGGAATCTAGTTAGTTACCCTTAATGACCAGCGATTATCCTGTCTACGCGCAACATGCCCGGCCCATGTACATTCCCTCTTCTTGATTTCAACTATGATATCCTTGTCCCCCGTTCGTTCCCTAATCCACTCTGCTTTCTTCTTTTCTCTCAAGGTTACACCTACCCCCCCCTTTTTTTTTTCCATAGCTTGCTGCGTCATCCTCAATTTAAACCCTCTTTGTAAGTCTCCAGGTTTCTGCTCCATAGCTAAGTACCGGCAAGATGCACCTGTTATATGCCTTCCTGTTGAGGGATATTGGCAATCTACCTGCCATTATTTGAGAGTGCTTGCCAAATGTGCTCCACCGCATTCTTATTTTTCTAGTTACTCCAATCTCGTGGTTCGGCTCCGTGGTTATTACTCCGCGGGTATTATAATGCAACAGAATGCCAATCAAGAATGGTGTAAGGCAGGGGGATGCAATCTCCCCAATGCTATTTGCCGCGTGCTTAGAGGAGGTTTTCAGAGGCCTAGAATGGGAACAGTTAGGGATAAGAGTTAATGGAGAGTACCTTAGTAACCTGCGCTTCGCCGGTGACATTGCATTACTGAGTAACTCAGGGGACGAACTGCAACTCATGATTACGGACTTAGACAAGAAGAGCAGGAAGGTGGATCTTAAAATTAATCTGCAGGAAATGAGAGTAATGGGTAACAACCGCGGAAGAGAGCAGCGCTTTGAGATAGGTAATAGTGCACTTCAAGTTGTAAAAGAGTATGTCTACTTAGGGCAGGTAATAACCGTGGAGCCGAACCACGAGATTGGAGTAACTAGAAGAATAAGCGAAGTCTGCCAGAGTTACACGGGTCATCCTGATCGCGGTTCTCGGCTACAACGCGTTCGCGTTGAAGCAGTTCAAAGCAGTATTTTTTCCTTTTTTCTTTTCGACCACCTCGGCGCACTTGTCAGAATGCGCGTTTAGTTCAGGTATAATTACGAGAACACTCTTCGCAGAACGTTTAGTGCTAAAAACGAGATAGAGAAATTTCAAAGAAATAACAACTACTTCGCACACGACAATCTGTCTCAAAATGTATACAACCCAGGGAGGAAGGAACACTTATTCCTTACTTCATGTATACAACCACTCGCTTGCTAAGTAAGAAATGCACCAGAAAATTGAGTATGCGTCTAATTCGAATTCAAAACCGAATCTAATTGTGCTGTGAACAGCCCGCCACGAGACGGCGCAGAATGCGCGTTATTTCAACATCAACAGGCCCAGATGGCATTCCAATTAGGCTGATAAAGACATTAGGTCCGAAGTCTAAGCAGGCTTTGAGAGAGGCAGTGAGCACAATAATAATCGATGGTGAAGTTCCCGATGGATGGAAACTTAGCAGGATGAGCATTATCTATAAAAGAAAGGGGGACAAAGCTGACATAAACAACTACCGTCCTATAACAGTGACATCAGTGGTCTACAGGCTGGCGATGCAGATTATAAAGCAAAGACTGCAGGCGTGGATAGAGGATGAGGGGGTGCTGGGGGAACTGCAGAATGGGTTTCGGAAACACAGGAGGTTGGAAGACAATCTGTTCTCACTGACGGAGTGCATCGAAATAGCAGAAAAGGAACACAGGCCCCTGTGGCTAGCATTTTTGGATATCAAGGGAGCGTACGATAGCGTTGTTCAAGAGGAATTGTGGGGAATACTGAACACACTAGGCGTGGAACATGTAGTCACTAATCTTTTAAAGGGTATCTATAAAGATAACAAGGTAGTTATAAAGTGGGAAAAACAGGTATCCAAGCCTACAGAGGTAAAACGGGGGCTTAGGCAGGGATGCCCCCTGTCACCCTTATTATTCACGATGTACCTACAAGGATTAGAGGCAAAATTAGAGGGAAGTGGACTGGGCTTCAACCTCTCTTTAGTCAAACAAGGAAAACTTATTGATCAGGCACTACCAGCATTAATGTACGCAGATGATATAGTGCTAATGGCCAACATCAAGGAAGGTTTGCAGAGATTGATGGATATCTGCGATAATGAGGGAGATAGGTTAGATTTTAGATTCAGTAAGGAAAAATCAGCAGTCATGATTTTCAATGACAACGAAGGTAGTGAGCTTAGAATACAGGAGGTCACGCTAGAGATAACAGATAAATACAAATATCTGGGCGTATGGATAAGCAATGGGACCGAGTATCTGAGGGAACACGAAATATACGTGACGACTAAAGGTAACAGGAATGCAGCAGTCATAAAAAATAGGGCACTGTGGAATTACAATAGGTATGATGTTGTGAGAGGAATATGGAAAGGGGTCATGGTTCCTGGGCTGACGTTCGGCAATGCGGTCTTGTGCATGAGATCAGAAGTTCAAGCAAGATTAGAAATTAAGCAACGTAGAATAGGTAGGCTTGCTTTAGGAGCTCACGGGAATACACCAAATCAGGGAGTACAAGGTGATGTGGGATGGACATCATTTGAGGGCAGGGAAGCTAGCAGCAAGATAAAATTTGAGAAGCGATTGAGAGAAATGGCGGAAGAGCGTTGGGCTAGGAAGGTTTTCAGCTACTTGTACATGAAGAATGTCGATACAAAATGGAGGAAGTGAACCAGAAAGTTGACTGGTAAATACTTAGAAAATAGCAGGTGGCCAAACCAAAAAGAACTATCGGTTAAGAAGAAAGTGAAGGAAACGGAGACGGACATGTGGAGAATGGGCATGATAAAGAAGTCCGCACTGGAGATGTATCGAACGTTTAAGCAGGAAATTGCCAAAGAAAGGATCTATGATAATACTCGGGGTAGTTCTCTACTGTTTGAGGCCAGAACGGGAGTACTGCGAACCAAGACATATCGGGCCAAATACGAAGGGGTAGACACAGTATGCAGTGTGTGTGGAGAGGAAGAAGAAACTGCCGAACACTTGATAATGTTCTGTTAAGGGCTTCACTCTATAGTTCAGGATGATGGAGCACAGTTTTTCAAAGCACTGGGGTTTAGGGACAGCGAGGGCAAAATAGACTTTAAGCGGGTAGACTTAACTAGAAGGAGGTTATCTGATTGGTGGCTAAAGTCAAAGCACGAGTGAAAATTAAACCCTTCACTGCGAAGTACGAATCCTCAACTTCATTATTTAAAGGAAAAAAAAAAGATAAATGTAATGGTTAGTTCACTAAGTATTACGGCTAGGTGGCGTTAGCCGCCGCCCGATCTAAAGGGTAAAGCCATATCCATCCATCCATCCATCCATTATAGGGAGCCTACATGAACGGCCGTGCATGTAGGCTCCCTAGTTATTTACTTCTTGTCCGTGACTCCATGTGGTGCAAGCGGAGAACACTTACCAGTTTCTCTCAAATGTTTAGAACACTTTAGTGCAAGTGTTCTCTGGTGCTATGTTTATAGAATAGGTTCTAATGGGTTCTGGTGGACGGACGCGCCACTTTCATTTAGTAGACTCGTCAGAGAAGTTTTGTACGCCGTCACTAAAGCGCCGACGTGACTTTGACGCAGCGGAGATTCGATCACTTCGCTGAAAATACTCGCGAAGGTGTCATCTGAGGCGTCTGTGACAACTGGAGTCATGGTATCATCGGTACGCACCAACGCGCAACGTCAAACGCGCACAATAGACGGCACACGCACGTCGAAATGTGTGTATTTACCGTCAAGCAGCCAACATTCGGAGGTGATGTACTGCCGTTTATTTTCTTTGGCATGATTCTGAAGAAACTGATGCATGTTATTTAATTCGTATTTCGTGCCCCGAGAAATGTGGGCGCTAATGTTGAGAATGTGGTATGTCATCGCAACGGTATGTCATGCATTATTGCAGCACTAACGTATGACGCTTAACCTGAAAACAGTGCAATGTCTTTTGAATACCGACTGTGACACACCTACACAACAAGTGTCACCGTGTGCGTTAGCGCTACAACCAACATCCAGCATATTCTACGATTACTCATCACGAACTCATAACGCAGTGCGCAAGTCCAGTGGCTCCCGCGAGAGTTGGAAAAGGGGGGGGGGGGGGGGGGTATTGTATGACTATGCTTTGTGGTAACTCTCCTCGCTTATCAGGGAGCGCGGCACCCGTGTGCCAGGGGCGGATTATCCAGGGTTCAAATGAACCGGGCCCTCCGGTTTTAGCCCCCTCCCCCCCCCCCCCCATGGGCCAGAAAAAAAAAAACGCTGACTTCGTTGTTTTATTTGAAAACATTTAACCATCCTGCTGGATTCTGCTGATAGAAAGAGATTATCTATTTCAATAATCAATATACATTGATTATTGATCGATGAGGTTGTTCGTTGCATAAGGTGCATAATATTGAAGTCCGCTCACAGTTCTGCAATCTGTGGTAAAAACTTTTTTACTCGCATAAGGCCATGCATCGTGTAGAGGGAAGGAACTGATCCAGCAGAGAGACACATACAGCAGACGAGGATTTTAGCAGCTACGGTCCAACGCACAATGTGAAGGCGTGCAGAGAGTGGTTCTTGTCTGAAGTATGGTTTAATGCGATGAATGAAAATAACCAGCATGCAGCTGGCGCCAACGTTTCTAGAACTAGGTAAGTTGCAAAACTGAGCGATGTTGCGCGGCGCCACCGCTGCCAGCGACAAATGTGGCGCTGCTGTCACACCCGGATTCGCTCACTGCGTGCTCGCTCGTGTCACTCCCATACCTTCTGTCGGCTGTCCATGTTGCAGTGCGTCGATATCCGTGGAGACTTCTTTCTGCGTAAACAGTTTTGTGCGTCAGCGTGCCCTGTTCTGCTTTGTATGTGTTGCATGTTTTCATCATGCCCAGATGTTGCGTTCCCGGCTGTAGAGTGGCTACAGGAAATGAAACATTACAAAATTTCTTTTGTGCCCACGTGCACCTGAGAAGCGAGAGGTGTGGGACCACGCTACTCCTCATGTAGATAAGAAACTACCCAGCACCTCACGTGTGTGTGATATGCACTTTCACGAGAACATCCTGGAGACCTTCACTCACGTCATCAATGGTAAGAAGGTACAAATCGCCAGAGGAAAGTGGGACCTTGTCAAAGGATGCATTCCACGAAAATTCCTGCATTTGCCCACTTACCTTTCAAAACCCATGACAAAGAAGCGAAAGCTGCCCGATAGGAGTGGGGTACTTTCCAGAATATCATCGGGGAAAAAGAATAGACTACTTCCAAGCAGGGAGCTCGAAGACAGTGAAATAAGTCCCGACATGCCGTCAACAAGTAGCGTCATTTCGCTTCAAGACAAAGAAAACCTTTGTTTATCTGCTGCATGCTGGCGGGAGGTTGTTGAGAATGACGAGGCAAGACGTCTTGTGGTGTTTCTAGTGCTCAAAGAAAAAAAATAGCGCTATTAGTGGAGAAATACGCGAAAGACATGGCAGTCATCATTAGCAACCATCGCTTAGCCAAGTCGCCCGGCAATGCAGATACCATCACCTGATTGGCCGAGCTTCTCGAGGACAATGAAAAGCTTAAAGTGTGTTCATGTTGTCCCAATGCGTCAGCAGGCAGACTTGTGAGTAATGACTACGAAGTGCTCACCGATACCCCAAAGTGCGGTCTCTGCTCGAAGCTTTGGCTGCAGCTGTGTTACCAGGTTTCATTAGAGGAACTCAAGAAGAAGCAGAGGGAAGACGAGCTCAAGAAAATGTTCGCATGCATAGCTTTTCGACCGTCTAAGTTGCTAAAGAATGTGACTGACATGAACAAAAAAAATAATAAGCTGACTACATAACTAGACAAAAGCCACGGGATTGCGCCACATAATTGTAATTTATTTTCAGGCACGAAAAACCCAGCCACAAAAGAGGATACCAGACATTGTAATTGGGTTTTTCGCATCTAAAAATGTATTGCAAATATACACCAACTAGCAACTATCGGACAGACTTGTATGATATGCTATATATATATCAAGTATGTTTATTATGGGCAGTTCAGAAAGCAATAATTATACTGTATTTGCCTTACACTACTAAATATTATGCAGTATTAAGTTTCTGCAACAGCACAATCAATCCCGGTAATATACTGTTGGCAAAGCTCTTTCAGAAAGGCTGCCACAGCGTCTTGCCACGACGACTGTGTTTTCGTCTGCTAGCGGAAGCTTGTTGCACTGCCTGTGCCACCAAACCGGAAGCTGTCCCGGCGCCGTGTGACGAGTAGTCTGACGTGGAGAGTTTTGCAACTTACCTAGTTCTAGAAACGTTGGCCGGCGCATATGCGGGCTATAGTATGCTTTCATTATAGTGTAAACAAAAAAGGCCCATCTGTGAGCTTTGGCAGTGCTCGCACGCAGGCAACTGAAGCGCGTGCTACCAAATCGATGAAGCTGAATCAGATAGAGGAAGCTATTTTCACAAATGCTCTCCCTGATTTTCAAGGGAAGATATCCTCTCTTGAAATAAGGGTAATTAATGCTATAGGTCAAGACGAATGTAAGAAACACACATTGTGCTTTGACTGCACTTCTGAGTGTCGTATGCATTCTTTCTTTTCGTCTTAACTTCTCACACAGTTTAGTCTTCTTTCAGTATGATCCAACGAACCAGACAAATTTTAATGCTGTCCATGTGTCTCGTGATATAATTCATTTTCATGGTGACATTCTCTCCACATGCTCCGCAAAAACGAAAATGCCCAGGTGATATTAAACTCTCCGGAGAGGCTTAGAATAAATATGGTGTGTCCTTTGCAGCTGATTTTAAAGAGATCACAGGTGGGACCCAACCTTGATGCTGGCAGACCTCATCTTCTATTTACGTGGGACGACCAAGGTGTGGTTTAACAACAATGTGGAAGCGATCACCAGCTAGAATGTATAGAATACCAAGTTACACGAGTTGTTTGGTCGGGCTGCTAGGAAAAACAATGGCTCCCATGTTCAGACATCGTCTGAGTCACGCTTGGGGTATATACAAGATGTTCTAACCTTTTGCTACAATGTTGACGTAACCATGGCCAAAGCCGACAAGGTAGTGCACGTGCTCAAGGGCATCACAGACGATGCATTTAACCTCTTTGTGTTCAAAGGCTGTGCAACCATTCAGGATGTTATCTTGGAGCGCCGATGCTTTCAAGAGGCTAAAATTTGTCACATTGCCCACCACTTTACCTGTTTTCTCGACACTTCTGTGACATCATCTTGTGAGGACCTCTGTTTTAAAAGCCCAGCCCATTCAACACTTTGGTGACATTACCAGAATTGTAAACCGTGAAATCGAAGCCATATCACCCGCACCCTTGAGGACACTGGCGCCAAGTAAACTTCAGCCAACCATATTGCTGATACAAACCCTTGTGCACCAAGAGCTAGCCAATGCGGGCATTCACACGCTCTGTTCTGTGCACTGTCCCGATGTTGTCAGTTCACCTACCTCGAACCACCTACAGCATTATCGCAGCCCTGCTCCACACAACCGTGACCAAAATGCATGGGGGACATCTGACGACAGGCCGATTTGCTATCGATGTGAACGAATGGAACACGTTTCACGTCATTGCTGAAGCACGTGGACTTCACCACATCGGGCAAGACCAAGCGTCCCCAACCTCTACTCGCCAGCCCAATTTTCTGACCAGGAACCACCACGCCGCGATGGCTCAGCTACTTACTACCCGAGCACTGCCTAGTGCAGTTGCTCACCTTCACCCTAACATAGATTTTCCCAGTCTCTGCTTTCACCTGATTCCCCGTCCTCATCCAATTGCTTTGCCCAGCTGTTTATATCTGGAAACTAACGGCTACAGTTCTGAAGGTGACTCTGCTGATAAAACTTGCTCTCCGGTTCCTCTGTGGACGCTCCCGACTGATGAGAACCTGATCGATGAAGTGGATGGTTTATCTATTACAGCCTTGGTAGACACTGGCGCCCATATTGCTGTCATGAACTCGCACATTCGTGACCGCTTAACTCTTTCAATGGATCGTCTATTTTTGCTTGTTGAATTCGTTTCTTGTGCACCAAACACATTTTAGTAGTTAACCTAGCCACTCAACTTTCAGAATCGAATTAAATTTGCCCGTTTCGTCAACATAGTTACTTTTAACAGATTTTTGCACGAACCAATGTGTGTGTTTTGTTGAGAAACGACTGGTGAACTTTACTGAAGTGCATGCCCCGGGTGGTTATGCAGGTGGACTGCATTCCTGCTGGCAGTGCACCGACGTGATCAAGGACAAGAGAAACATGAAAACACACCTTTTGATTCACCTGGGCAATCATCTCTTCCAGTACTGCATGTGCTCAACCACATTTACTCGGAGTAACATTCTCAGTGTATTCATATCCGCACAAGATCGCTCCATCTTTTTTGTGTTCACTGTACCTATGTGACTCAAGGACAGCAAGAACATAATATTTATCCACTTGTGACCAGCCAGAACTCTGTTGTCACTTACCTCGTTAAAATTTGTTTTTTTTTTATTTTTACCCACTTTTATGGTAGCTTTGTTCAATCAGATTTTGTCTCATATGCTTAAAGAAGTGGTGCCACCAAATTTTGAGGCTATCCCAAGCCTGTTGTGGGTTTCCTCTGTATGCAAGTTAATTTCTAGAATATCCCGGAGATAAAAAATTTTTTGGTCACAGGAGAGCCTTTGAATTTTGCAGAATGTCGTAAGAATGGCGGTGATGTTGGGGATGCCCTATTGGAGACCTGAGTGGTTATGCAGGTGGACTGCATTCCTGCTGGCAGTGCACCGACGTGATCAAGGACAAGAGAAACATGAAAACACACCTTTGGATTCACCTGGGCAATCATCTCTTCCAGTACTGCATGTGCTCAACCACATTTACTCGGAGCAACATTCTCAGTGTATTCATATCCGCACAAGAACGCTCCATCTTTTTTGTGTTCACTGTACCTATGTGACTCAAGGACAGCAAGAACATAATATTTATCATTTTGTGACCAGCCAGAACTTTTATGATAGCTTTGTTCAATCAGATTTTGTCTCATATGCTTAAAGAAGTGGTGCCACCAAATTTTGAGGCTATCCCAAGCCTGTTGTGGGTTTCCTCTGTATGCAAGTTAATTTCTAGAATATCCGGAGATAAAAATTTTTTGGTCACAGGAGAGCCTTTGAATTTTACAGAATGTCGTAAGAATGGCGGTGATGTTGGGGATGCTCTATTGGAGACCTACAATCAGTGCCGGCACAATCGCGGAAATTTGTGCAGTAGGATATTTTGCATCAGTGCACGTTTCGAACAGTCGTGCATGTTGCCGTTTTGAGGCCTAGCTCCTTGGCCAAGACCATCCGCCTATTCCTCTGGTCTCCGTCTAGTCCACCTTTCTTAGGTCATATGACGCAAGAACATGACTTGCATCGACCTGGCAGGTGCGGTCCCGGGTTGAAACCCTCGATCAGGACCACTTTTTCGACAACTAGGAGGCTTTTCTTTCTGAGAAATCTGTATGGATTTCCTTGTGGCTTCGGGCTACAAATGGGTGGTTGTCTTCTTTTTCTTTCTTAACCCTTCCGCCACCTTGCAGGTTTTCGCAGAACTTATTTGCTATGCTTGTGTCCATGTGCTTCGAGTTGTCGATGAATTCGTTCTCACGCTGTCGATTGCTAGCTTCCTGGTTAGTTCAATTGGCAGAGCGACTGCCCTGGAAAGGCATTGGTCCTAAGTTCGAACCCCGGACCAGGACAAATTTTTGGCAACTAAAAGGCTTTTTTTTTTCTGAAAAATTTGTACGGATTTTCTTGTGGTTTCGTACTACAAACAGGTGGCCATCTTCTTTCCCTTTCTTAAATTTCATCTTAATGTAAAGAAAAATTTCCCCAAATTTGTGATTTTTCCTCACATTATTTACAAAACTCATTGGTCTGAATAACTGAGAAATTTATCATTTATAGAGGAATTAGTGATTGCTTGGGTATTCATACATAATGGGGTATTAATAAAAAACAAAAAATGTAAACATAGAACATTTTAGGAAAATTGCTTTAGCCATATATGATAGATTCGAACCAATGTAAATGCTTTGATTATGTATACCGATTTTCGCTTTGAAACAAAAAACGAGTCCCAAAGTTAGTTTTTAACAAGTGTTTCTCAGATGAAATTCTGCGAAATCGGGAAGGCTCCTACGTGACCAAAACTTTTTTTTTCCTCTGAAAAATCCTACCAATATATGATTTCTATAAAAGAAATCAGCCCAATTTTTTTTCGATAAAGTCTCAGATGGTCATGAACAAAACTGAGATGTTTGGCATGGAATGACTTTACAACAGTCTCATTGCTTCCACAAAGGAATATTGAGATTAGAGTAAGAACATTTGCTGATGCAAGTGTTTGAAATGCTACAGCTTTCTGGGAAAACAGTTTTAAATAATGTGTGCCCCTAAACAGAGTGGAGCCATACAGCAGAAGAACTTTCTTGGCATTGGTGAGGGCATGGAAGTTGTTTAGTGTCTTGCATAATGAGGTACAGGGGCAGCTTTTTTTTTGTATTGCTTAAGTTGTATTCATTTTATAGTCGCTACACATCAATAAAAATCACAAATATGTTCTCTATTTTTTCTTTACTTCATTTTGTCCTGGCTCCACAAACTGAGATATATTATTATAAATGTGCTGTAACGAATATGTAACTGTGCTAGCTTTCAGTGTACGTTGTTTGTGCTTTAAATGCGTATTAGCTGCTTCCAGGACTCGAATGCTACCGATAACTCCTATTGTTCTTTCATTGCTGATGGAACGAGACATGATAAACACTGTGCCCTGCATAATACTCTTTTAGCTCAACACAGTGGACATATTGAGCTTCTGACATATCTTCCTTAGTTCATACTGTCTGTCATTATAGTTGCCCCGAAACCACAACTTATCATTGCCTCAAAAATAAAAAAAACAATGATTTTTCTTGTGATTTCGTACTACAAACAGGTGGCCATCTTCTTTCCCTTTCTTAAATTTCATCTTAATGTAAAGAAAAATTTCCCCAAATTTGTGATTTTTCCTCACATTATTTACAAAACTCATTGGTCTGAATAACTGAGAAATTTATCATTTATAGAGGAATTAGTGATTGCTTGGGTATTCATACATAATGGGGTATTAATAAAAAACAAAAAATGTAAACATAGAACATTTTAGGAAAATTGCTTTAGCCATATATGATAGATTCGAACCAATGTAAATGCTTTGATTATGTATACCGATTTTCGCTTTGAAACAAAAACGAGTCCCAAAGTTAGTTTTTAACAAGTGTTTCTCAGATGAAATTCTGCGAAATCGGGAAGGCTCCTACGTGACCAAAACTTTTTTTTTCCTCTGAAAAATCCTACCAATATATGATTTCTATAAAAGAAATCAGCCCAATTTTTTTTCGATAAAGTCTCAGATGGTCATGAACAAAACTGAGATGTTTGGCATGGAATGACTTTACAACAGTCTCATTGCTTCCACAAAGGAATATTGAGATTAGAGTAAGAAACATTTGCTGATGCAAGTGTTTGAAATGCTACAGCTTCTCTGGGAAAACAGTTTTAAATAATGTGTGCCCCTAAACAGAGTGGAGCCATACAGCAGAAGGACTTTCTTGGCATTGGTGAGGGCATGGAAGTTGTTTAGTGTCTTGCATAATGAGGTACAGGGGCAGCTTTTTTTTTGTATTGCTTAAGTTGTATTCATTTTATAGTCGCTACACATCAATAAAAATCACAAATATGTTCTCTATTTTTTCTTTACTTCATTTTGTCCTGGCTCCACAAACTGAGATATATTATTATAAATGTGCTGTAACGAATATGTAACTGTGCTAGCTTTCAGTGTACGTTGTTTGTGCTTTAAATGCGTATTAGCTGCTTCCAGGACTCGAATGCTACCGATAACTCCTATTGTTCTTTCATTGCTGATGGAACGAGACATGATAAACACTGTGCCCTGCATAATACTCTTTTAGCTCAACACAGTGGACATATTGAGCTTCTGACATATCTTCCTTAGTTCATACTGTCTGTCATTATAGTTGCCCCGAAACCACAACTTATCATTGCCTCAAAAATAAAAAAAACAATGATTTTTCTTGTGATTGCACAAACAAAAGATGTTCTTTTTGTTCTTCTTAGTTCTGATCGAAACAACTGAATATGTTTCTCATATTGTACTTTCCAGACTGTTCCCTAATTTGGTTAAAGCAATCAATGTCTGAGCCATGTGAATATGAGTGTGTTGTTTATGTATAGTGTACTAGTGATTATGTCTTGTTCATTTATTAGCTTGCATTGAGTTGCTTAGATTTCATGTTCTTGGGTTAGAGTGTAAGGCTGATACGAAATGAAAATCTTGGGGTATTTTTTGTTGTTGGACATGTTCACTTTTGCTGCTCCTTCTCAATGTCATTAATGATACCACGTAACCTTACTAATTTGTCTACAGCATAAAAGCAAAGTGTGCAATTGCATTTTTTTATGCAGGCAGCTCTTCAGTGAAGGTGCATTTGATCTATAGGGCTGTAAATACTATAAAATGATTTAATCTTTCTGCATCCAAGAAGAAACTATTTGTTGCTAGGTTCAAACGTATCAGGTCTTTGTACCGCATGTAGTTCACCAATGTGGATCGGCGGCTACGGTGCCCTGCTCCTGACCTGAAGGTTGGGGGTTCAATTTCGATTGCAGTGGTTGCATTTTGGGGGAGGCAAAATAATTGAGGCCCATGTGCTTTGCTATGTCTGTGCCCGTTAAAGAACTTAAGACTGTTAAAGTCGGAGACCTCCACTACGTTGCTCTCATAATCACGTCGTGGTTTTGGGACATGAAACCCCAGATAACAGTCATCTATTTCACTGAATGTTACTTCACGTTTATCAACTTTGTTCCTTCTACCGAAGGTTTTACATATTTCACTTCTCTAGCATTTATTCATTATTATTACTGCAGTTATGTGCACAGTCACTCAAAGTACCTCTTTTTTATTTTTGAAAAGAGTATTCATTTTAACTCAATTAACCTAGAAGGGTTCTAGAAAAATGTCATCCATGCTTTAAGTTTGTCACTGTACTTGCAGGAATCGTAAACTTCATTCCTGCGTCTGTGTTACAATATTTAAGTAGTCTTTTAGGTAGGATTTCCTCATATGTTATTTGTAGCGCACTCTGACTACATTTTCATTTAATCTATCTTCATGAGCTTAGGTGTTTCAGTTTTCTAGTAATTGAGCTCTAGGTCAAGAAAATTATAATCTCCTCCCTTCCCCTGTTTGCACCATGGTACAGTGCAGTACACTGTTTAAAAGAACAGTTGAATAAGCACTAATATTGGAACCACCTAACTTCAAGTAGATGTGGAAACATTTTCCATGCACAGCACTAGTCAGTCAAAAGGAGTCTCAACTCTGAGTGAAAGTTGTGTGGTTGAAATTATAATGATTCCATAATTGATAACACATTCATGACTTTCAGCAGTTGCCCTGCTGCGGTGGTCTAGTGGCTAAGGCACTCAGCCACTGACCCTGAGGTCGTGGAATTGAATCTCGCGTGCGGAAGCTGCATTTTCGATGGAGGCGAAAATACTGTAGACCCGCGTGCTCATATTTGGGTTCCAAGTGGTCAAAACCCCAGATGGTCAAAATTTTCGAAGCCCTCTACTATGGTGTCTTTCATTACCATATGGTGGTTTTAGGACGTTAAACCTCACATATCAATGAGCTTCCAGTAAAATTGACGCATGTCTCTTCTCCAGCTTTTACTAGCAAACGACGAGTTTGCGAGTCGCTATAATGTATGGAGTATT